GTTTCCCCAGAACCATTCCCCTGGAACCGCTTCCCCTGGAATCGTTTCCCAAAGGTCGTTTCCCCGGAACCGCTTCCCTGGATCTGTTTCCCCAGACTCTTCCCGGGAACCATTTCCCATGTGCACCCTCTTCCCCGGAGACGTTTCCCCAGAGACCGCGTCCCCAGTACCACTTCTCGAGGGGAGACGAAGGAGGAACGAGGGAGGGATGAGAGATGAGGGAAGGAGGAATGATGGAGGGAGGAAGGGAGGAGGGAAGGATGAGGGATGAGGGAGGCGGGAGGGAGGGACGAAGAAAGAGGAGAGATGGAGGGATGGATGAGGGAGGGATGAGGGAGGGAGGTGAGGATTAGAGTGAAGGAGGTATAGATGAGGGACGAGCGAAGGAGGAATGAGGGAGGTAGGGCGGAAGGCTGAGGGATGAGGGATGAAGAGAAGTAGGGGGTAAGAGGGATGAGGGAAGCTGGGGGGAGGAGAATGATGATGAGGAGGAGGAGAAGGTGGAGGAGAAGAGGAAGAGGAGATAGTGTCAGCTGAAACGGGCCAGAAGATACACCCTGTACTTGCGACGACCAGTGCAAGTGCTACTGAACACACGGGATGTCTCGGGGAAACGGGCTAAACAAAATAGGACCACCTCAAACGCGGACATCTCTGAGACCAGAGTTGGAGGGATGAAGGAAGGAGCGATGAGGGATGAGAGGAATTAACATACATGAGCGATGAGAGAGGGAAGGAGGGATGAGGGACCAGTCGGGCTGGCGGACCCTACCAAGGGGCTCCGGTCGGTCGGGCGGGACCCTATCGGGCAGGTCGGGTCGGGCGGGCTGGGACATGAACAAATTGCGCATCATCGAACTGGCACGTGAGTGCTCTGACGGGCGGGTCGGGTCGGGCGGGCAGACACCAATGTATGGCGCAACGTCGAGGTCGGACGCGAGTACCCTAACGGGAAGGGACGGGTCGGGCGGGCGGGTCCTAACAGGCGAGACGGGTCGAGTCGGGCGGGCGGACTCTGACGGGCGGGTCGGGTCGGGTCGGGAGGGCAGGACATTAGAATATTGCGCGTCATCGGGTTGGCACGCAAATGCCGTTACGGGAAAGACGGTTCAGGCGGGCGGGTGGACCCTAACGGGCGGGACGGGCCGGGTCGGGCGGGCGGACCCTAACGGGCGGGTCGGGCCGGGTCAGGCGGGCGGACCATAACGAGCGGGTCGGGTCGGGTCGGGCGGGCGGGACATTCATGTATGGCGCATGATCGAGATGGGACTCGCATATCCTAACGGGCGGGTCGGACCCTAACGGGCAGGACGAGTGGGGTCGGGCGGGCGGACACTGACCAGCGAATCGGGTCGGGTCGGGGGGGGAGCATTAAAATACGTAGAACCTCGCAGGTGCGGGTAGAAGTGAAGGGAGGGGTCGTCGGCAGTCTTCGAGACGCTGGAGAACCCCGCCGCAGGCGCCAAAATTTTACAAATTATCCGCCGGTCCGGCGTGTGAGTTTCTGAGAGCGTGGGCTTGAGCTCGCTCAAGCTTCGCTCTGCACGGGGGGGGGGGGGGGCGCCATTCCCGACGCCATTCAACGCTCGGGAGCCAGGGGGGGGTCGCTCTGCAAGGGGGTCGCCATTCCCGACGCCATTCAGTGCTCGGGAGCCGGGGGAGGAGGGTTCGCTCTGCAAGGGGGTGGGGGACGAGTGCTCGGGAGCGGGGGCGGGTTCGCTCTGCAAGGGGGGGGGACCCCATTCCCGACGCCATTCAGTGCTCGGGAGCCGGGGGGGGGGTTCGCTCTGCAAGGGGGTCGGCCCCTTCCACTGGCAATTGACGTCGTCATGATAGGTGGGAGTGGGAATCCACGCAGCCTCTATGATGGAAGCTGCGCGGGGTGTGAGGCCTATCGATGGTGCTCATAGGCGAAGCCTAAAAATTGTCCTCGCCAGAGGGGGGAAGAAAGGAGAGGTGTTGATGCATTTGGTGGCAGCGATCTTGGTGGCGAAGGGTCCTGGGAGATCGCCAGCTCTGCAATCGAAGCTAGGATCCTAAGGCGGGCTCCTGACAAGGGGGTTCGGAAAAGACTCCGCCGACCCCGTCAACGCCACGACGGCGGCGACCAAAACGACGACGACCGACCGACCGACCGACCGATCGACCGACCGACCGACCGACGACCGACGACGAGCACGGACGACAACGACAGCGGCGGTGGCGCCGACGACCAAGCCGTCCGCAGGCCCAACCCCCGGCGAGGGGGAGGGAGGGAGGGGGGGAAGGGGCGGGGGAGGGGAAGGGGGACTAGCGGGAAAACGGGGAGGGAGAAGGGGGCGGGAGAGGGATGGGGAGTAGGTGAAGACACTCGGTCCCCCAGCGTGGCGTTTTAGCTTCCGCTTCGTTCCGAGTCCAACCCCGAACACTCCTGGCGTACAGTCGTGTCTGTCGGCACCCAGGGCGGAAACATGTTTTGTGCTCCGCCCAACCCCCCACCCCCTTGAAATCCCAAGGCACCTCGGTTTTGACCCCCTGAATTCCAGAGGCCCACCTCGGATCGCCTCGCCTCTCCTGGGGTAGGGGCCCGCCTCCAGCACATCCTGCCCGAGGTCCGAGGAAAGAGAAAGGAATGGTGCGGTGCTCCTGGGAGCGGCGCGGCAATCGCAGCGAAGAAGGCGGGGTGTGTGGCGGGGGGGGGGGGGCGGGTAAGGCGAAGGAGCGCTGTGGTCGGTGCAAGGTGGCGGCCGTGCGTGCTGCTGCTGCTGCGGAGGAGGGAAAGCGCAAGAGGCGGGAATCGAGTGAAGGGGTGAAAAAGGGTTGGGTGGCCCGAGCGGGGCCCCCGCCCCCCAGGGAGGGGGAGCTGGAGCTCCCTCGGCGTGGCTCTCGTGCCGAAGGGCCGAGGTGGTCCACGGCCCCTCAGACATTGCCCTGGGGGGGGGCGTGCCGACGGCGGCCGGGCTGTTCCCCTCTGCCCCGCCCCCAACGCCTGCCTCTCCGTCCTGTTCTCCCCTCAGGTCCCTGCGGCGCCCTCCTCCAGTCTTCTTCCTTGTAGAGAACTTCTCCCTGTCGCACCCCGAGGCCAGATTTTAGGGCGGGCACGCGCATTCGTTTCAAAAGTTTGTAAGACCTTCGCGGATTGAGGGCGGTTCCTTTTCAAGATGCAGCGGTCGCCTTGGCGCCGTGCATGATCGTTCATCAAACTTGCACGAGTTTCACGGAATCCCACGATCTCACTGCGGGTGTGACAATTCGGTCTCACTGCGGGTGTGACAATTAGGTTGGTTCGCGGTGTTGAAACCCCAAGAATGGCGTTCTGGCACGATCCATGATCGTCAAGACAAAGCAGTCAGTTTGATCCGTGGCGTTGGAATCCCGAGAACAATGTTTTGGCATACTTCGGGATCTTCAAACGGTTGCCTTCCAATAAGGCAGATCCCCCACTGGTAATGAACCGTTGTAAAGGGCCTGTGAAGATGGAGCTTGGAGGGAGGATGTATTCCTAGATCGTTGATGGCTCTTGGGTTTGCACTGGTCTTCCTCATCCTCCTGGTCCCTCTTCCCCCATTGTTTCCCGCGTTCCAGGTCCCCTCAAGTGGGGGTATACATATGTTGTTCCCGCCGGCTTTCGCGGGGCCCATCCCCACATGGGTGGTGGTGGGCTGGTGAGGCGGATACACCGGGCCCCAGCGGGGATGGGGATCGGTTATGCCCCCGCCTGTCGTGCAGCCTGACTCCACAGTCCTCGCTTCTCACTCCTCCTCCAACCATCCTTCGGCGACACGCAAGACCCTGGGCAAGCGTGACCGTTGTTGCCGGCTTCAGGACGCGGTGGGTGCCACACCGAAGCGCGCAAGCCGCTTCTATCGTATCGAAGTCAATGGTCAGGGGATTCCAGCGGGCCCGCGAAAAATGCCACTCTGGCGAAAGGTCACTCTTACGTGTAGCCGAACCTCCCGCTCAGCCTCGCCGTCGCCGCTGCCAACTGCGGTGGTGATGATCGTGATGATGACCGTGGTGATGAGGATGGTGATGCTGCTGCTGCTGCTGCTGCTGCTGCTGCTGATGATGATGATGATGATGATGATGATAATGGTAGTGGTGCTGATGACGATGCCATGTATGATGCTGATGGAAATTAGGATGGCGATGATGATGATGGTGCTGATGACGATGACGATGATGAGTCTGACGATGGTGATTCTGATTAGGATTATGGTGATGGTAATGATGACGAACCTGGTGATGGCGATGAAGCTAGTGATGATGGTGATGATGATGTGGATGATTATTGTGATGATGGTGATGGTGATGGAGATGCCGATAATGGCGATGATGATGACGATGACGATGAAGATGAAGATGAAGATGGCGATGGTGATGAATATGACGATGAAGATGACGATGATGATGCTGATGATGATGCGGATGATGCTGCTGGTGACGCGGATGACGACGATGATGCTGATGATGAAGATGAAGAAGGTGATGCTGATGATGATGATAATGATGATGATGATGATGATGACGATGATGATGATGATGATGATGATGATGATGATGATGATGATGATGATGCTGCTGCTGATGATGATGATGATGATGATGTTGATGTTGATGATATTAGTGATGATGATGCTCGTGAGGATGATGATGCTGATGATCATGATCATGCTGATTTCAGATGGGGACGATGCTGCTGTTGATGATGGTGACGATACGACGATAAGGACGAGACTGACGATAAGACGATAAGGATGATGATGACGATGATGATGCTGATGATGATGATGATGATGATGATGATGTTGATGATGCTGCTGCTGATGATGATAATGATGATTATTATGAGGTCGGGGCAGAGGAGAAGGGAGGAGAAGGGGGAGGAGGAGAAGGGAGGAGGAGAAGGGAGGAGGAGAAGGGAGGAGAAGGAGGAGGAGGAGGAGAAGAAGGAACGGAGGAGGATATACGATTACTGGCACCACTCTTCGCGGCCGCCAACGGCGACGACGCGCGCTCGCCGTCCAGGCTGTCCAGGGCAACGAACGCGGCCGCCGGGCTGCAGACGTGGGCCTCCCGCACGCCGGGCACTGCCTGCCGGGGGCTCTCCGGCGGCTGGGGGCGCGCGGGGGGCTGGCCAGCTGGCGACGGCGAGACCCAGACACCCTGGCGCCACGACCGAGCCACGGCGAACATGTTTCGTTGCTGCTGCTTTTGGCCTCTGGGGGCTCTTACCAGGCCTCGGAGACGACTCAAGATGTAAAGCTGGTCCAGGGAAATGGGTCCAGACCTTTTGGGGTGCACGATATGATAACATAGCAAAAGCAGGACGTCGAAGGTCTAGACAAGGAGGGAGGAAGAGAGCGGGAGGATGGGAGGGTTCAGGGAGCGACGAGAGAGGGGAGATGGAGGGAAGATGCAGGGAAAACGGGCGGAGGGAGGATCAAGTTAGGTTAGGACTGCCCCTGGGGGATCCGGCTCCTGAGCCAGGAGAGGACCTGACCAGTGGCTGGGGGATGGGGGGGAGAGGAGAGAGGAGAGAGAAGGATGAGAGAGGCAGTGACACAGGAGAAGGGGGGACGAGACGGAGAAGGAGGAAGGGGGGGAAGAGGTAGTCGGCCGCAGCGCGGGCTCGCCTTGCACCTCCTCCTCCTCCTCCTCCTCCTCCTCCTCCTCCTCGCCCCTCCTTCATCCTCGCTCTCCTCCCCCGTGCCCCTCGCCCCTCCTCTCCCTCTCCTCTCTCCCTCCCTCCTTCCTCTCCTCCCTCCCCCCCGCCCTTCCCACACTCGTCCGACCGTCGACGACGACGACGACGACGCCGACGACACCGACGGGAACGACGCCGACGACGCCGACGCCGAAGCCGACGCCGACGCCGACACCGACGACGACGCCGACGTCGACGACGACGACGACGTCGACGGCGACGATACCGACGACACCGACGGGACTGACGCCGACGACGCCGACGCCGACGCCAAAGCCGACGACGACGATGACGGCGCGACGTAGACGACGACGGCGACGACGACAACGACGACGACGACGACGATGTCGTCATCGTCGGCGGCGGCGGCCGCGGCCGCGGAGCCGCCAGACAGCGCCTCGAGCGCGCCTTGGAGCTCGCGCGCGTCGGCCCACGCCCCCGCGACCTTGAAGCGGGCGTCCGCCCGCCCGGCGAAGGCGTAGCCGGCCGGCTTCTCCTGCCGCTTCTCATCATTCCCCACCCGGCAGGTTGGTGCTGCTGGGTTTAAGTCGAGGGCTCCCGACCCGCCTCGCGCTCCCTGCATACCGCGGCAACCCGGCCCCGAGGTGTGCTGGTGCTTCCTGGGAATCCCACCACGCGATCGCGAGTGGGGATGTCGGGTGGGGATCGTGTTCTCGGGTGGGAGACCTTCTTCTTCTCTGTCTTCTGCTTTCCCTTGTTATTATGTGTCTTCTTTTGTGCGCGTCTGCGTGTCGCACTACCGACGAGACGACTCCTCCGACGTCCGAAGAGGCTACTGTCAGGAACTCTTGCTGAGCGCGTCGCGGCGGCGGCCCCGGCGACACGCTATCCCCGGTAAGCGGATAGCGTGCCGCTCCGCTTCGCGGGGCGTGAGGTGTCGAAAGGCTCTGGACGTTGACGCTGGGGGAGTGGGGACGTGAACAGCGTGTGGCGCCGAAGCGTGGTACGCCAGAACTGGCGGAGCGATACGCTAAGCCAAAGCTCCTGACCGTATCAGCGCCGCTCTGCACTCCACTTCTTTCGGGAGCGGCCAAGAGGGGGGTGTGCAAGAGGGGGGGTGCAAATCATGACCGGCGGCATGTGCGCGGCCCAGCGGGGGGGCCAGGGACGTAATGACATAAGAAGTGGCCCCATGAAATCTGGGGAAATAACATGACCCCGCCATGATATCCCCCCCCCCAGTCATCACCCCCCTCTTTTCCGCCCCCGAACTCTACTTGTTGTTTGCCGAATGCCCCACCGGGGAAGGTGGCGATCGCATCCCGCCCAGAAGTCGAACAAATGGGAGCCGGGGGCCCGGCCACCTCCTGCCGGCGCCGCCCCCGCGCCAGTGAGCGCCAGAGTGCCGTTCGGGGGCGCCATGGGCGAGCAGAGCAGGAGAGGAATACCCGTGCTGCGAGCGCCGAGCGCGCTGGAGCCAGGGCGCCATGCCAAGACCAGCGGGCGGAGCAAGAGCACGGGGAGACCCAGGAGGAGGAAGGAGAGAAGAACGAGGGCCGGGGACAGAGGCGCGAACAGCCAGCCCCCCGCGGGCAACTGCTTCTCCACCTTGAGGGTCAGCTGTCCGCTAATCGGTGGTCCAGATCACGTGTTAGTGTGTACCTTAACCCGCGCGCTGACTAGCGTACACAGGTTTCCATGAGGTTTTCGACATGCGCCAACACAGGCTGCATTTCGACGCACATGTCCACACATGGTGCAGCATCGCCTCTAGAATAGGACGGCACACTGCGCGAGGCGCGAGAGGATTGAGGGAAAGGATGTTGATGAGGAAGGATGGGTATCGCCTGTACCTCAGTCGTATGCGCTACCTGTGATGTAAACAATTTCTGAGGATCAGCGTGCGAAGGAAACTGCAAATGATGAGCAACTGGAGGGAATCGTGAAATCCTGCCAATCTCGACCACCTCCCTGGGGCCGTTTTTTCATCCCGGGTAGTGTTTGACTATCCTGGGGCCCAATCAAGAATGCCCCACCAAACGAAACCGAAAACAAGCCAAGGACGTCACCCGTGTATTTTTTTTCATAGCGGCGAGAGGGGGTTTGGCAACTAGGAGGCGGAGAAGGAGCAGAAACCGTAGGGGGAGAGGGTGGCGCTTACAATCCTCGACGCAGTCCCGCGTGCGGTACCAGGACGCACCCGCCTCCTGGGCCGGTGCGCGCGTGCGGGAGGGAAGGCGGCTGGGATGGATGATGGCGGGGCGGGAGGGATGCGGAAAGAGGAAGCGGAGGAGGACACAGGGCACGGGCTGGGACGAGCAACGGAGTATCCGAAACGTAGCACCCCGCAGGTGTCGATAAGAGTGTGGGGGTGACGGGGTCGTCGGCAGTCTGTAAAACTATGGAAAAACAGCCCGCAGCAGGGTCCGCTTTTTAACGAGCCCGCCGCAGGTGCCGAATTTTCGTCAAAGCAATGTGAGTGGGTCGCGGATGGGTCGCGGGTGGGTCGCGGGTGGGTCGCGGGTGGGTCGCGGGTGGGTCGCGGATGGGTCGCGGGTGGGTCGCGGGGTGGGTCGCGGAGCGGGTCGCGTGCGAGGATGACGACAGAAACAACCATCAGTTTAAGACTGCTCGCTCTTAGCTGCTCGCGTGCCATTCAACACGTATGTCCCAAACCCTCGATACCCGCCCTCTTCGTCTTCGATCGTACCCTCTTGAGGGTCTATCTTCCTTACCTGCCGCGTGAAATTGGTGCAGCCCCTAGAGCTAGGGAAGAGAGGACGGATAGAAGGGGGAGGGAGAAGGGTTGAGCATCAGAAAGATTAGCAGGAGGGGGCTAGGCGAAGAAAACACGTGGCATAATCAGACTTGCTGATCGGGCGGGTCGACCCTAACGGGCGGGTCGGGAAGGCGGGCCCAGGCGGACAGGTCCAGCAGGCTGGCTCCTGACGCGTGAGTTCTGCATGACTCGCGAGGAAGTCTCGAGTAGTAGTGCAAATTTCGAATAAAACGTGAGAGAAGCAAAAGCGAGAGCTCGACTCCTGAGCGACGAGGGCGAGGCGTCGGAATAATTTTCGAGGAAATCCCACGCGAGAGCGGTGGGGACGTCCCGCACGCGAGCGCGATTTTGAAATACATTCCAAAGAAAAATCTGGCGGGAGCCGTCGTTGCTGTAGGTCGGGGCCCAAGGGCGCAATCTGACGAGGATCATTTTCCTTTCTAAGAAACAAGATGTGCGCCCTGGTAGGGGGTACCTTCACTGAACAACACGAGGTGCACCGGAGATGGGAGATCAACAATCCTGCAGCACCCCGCAATTTCGGATAAGAGTGAGGCGCGGGAACAGGCGCGATCTGCCGCAGTTGCGGGTGAGCGGAGAGCGCGCAAAAATCGATGAACCACAATTGCGAAACATGACTAACTCCTGTGCGCGCCTGCCGCCTGCGTAGTGGATGACATTCGCGATTGCGTGCGCGTTGCAGTGTAGGAGGGTGCCGGGGGACTGCTTTGAAGCTGCTTAGTTCAAAGCAGTGCTGGGGCACTGCTTTGACATCGTGTCATCGGATTAAGACGTCAAATGTGTCGCTAGCGCACCTAGCTTGCCTCCCACGGCCTCCCACCCCTTCCCCCTCCCTCCCTCCTCTCCTTCCTCCTCCCGCCGCTGGGGACTGCTTTTCAGCCTCCTCCCTGGGCCCTCGTGGACCATCTTGGGAGCTTGTCGAAGCGTCTTGGGGCCCTGTTGGGCCGTCGTCTTAGGCGCCTCCTTGAAACGTCTTCGGGCTGTCTTGGGCCGCCCTGAGGGCCGCGTTTGGGTGCCTCTTGGTCCACCTCGTCCTCTTGGGAACTGCCTGGGGGGCTCGCCCCGCCGCCAGAAGGGACAGGGCCAGGCCGGGGGCGCTCCCACGCGTAGACGTCGGCGCTGGCCGCGGGGTCGGTGTAGCCAGGGCTCACCATGGGTCCTCTGTCAGGGACGGGGCGGGATGGCGAGGGAAGAGGGGGGGCAGTGGGCGGGGGGGGAAATGTCCTCCTCCTCCTGCTGTCGTCGCCGTCGCCGCCGCCGGTCGTGCCGCTGCGGGCGTCCCGTCGTCTGTCGCTTCGTCGTCGCCGTCGCCGTCCCAGCCGCCACCGTCGTCGCTGCCGCCAGTGGCTGCTTGTTTTTCACTTCCAGGGCCTCGTGCCCGTTTTGGGCGCGCGCGAGGCCAACTTGAAATCACAGAATCCTAGAACCCTAGAGTCCTCCTCCATTCCTTTTCCTTATAAATAATTTCCCTGTCGCACCCTGAAGCAAGTTGTTAATTTGGTCCTGGCGTTTCGCCTGAGACTTCCTCACCACTTATGACCCTGAAGCTTATAATTGACAGCAGCTTCACAGATGGAGGGCGGGTCGTTTTCAAAATGTGGCACTCGCCTTAGCGCCGCGCACATTCGATATAACAAATTGAAAAAGCTTCACGGATTGAGGGCGGGTGGTGTTCAAATGCGGCTCTCACCTCAGCGCCGCGCACGTTCGTTTTGAACAATTGTAGAAGTTTTACATATGCAGGGCGGTTCCTTTTCAAATTGTGGCTCTCGCCTTAGCGCCGCGCGCATTCGTTTGTACTGCAAGAGCTTTACTGATTCCCATGATCCGCGTACAAGAAATTGCGTTTGGGAAGGATTCAGGGTTATGCGGGTGGTAAACATATGTTGATTCGCGGCGTCGAAGTCCCAGGAATGGTGCTGGCACGTTTCAACGTCAAGACGTAACAGTCAGGTTGATCCGTGGCGTTGGAATCCCGACAATAATGTTTTGGCATACTTCAGGGTCTTCAAACGGTTGTCCTCCAACGAGGCAGGTCACCGTGGAAATTGACCGTTGTAGGGGCCTGTGAAGAGCTTGGAAGGAGGGTTCATTCCAACATCGTTGGTGACTCTTGGGTTTTCACTGGTCCTCCTCCTCCTCCTTCTCCTCCTCTTCCTCCTGCTCATCCGTCTCATCCTCCTCCTCCTCCTCCTCCTCTAATATAGTCCTCCCTCCATGCTCCGTCTCCCTCCCTCTCTTCCTCCCTCTCCTGTTCCCTTTCGCCGTCCTCTTCCTCCTCCTCCGCTTCCTCCTCCGTCCTCTTCCTCTTCCTCTTCCTCCTCCTCCTTCTCCTCCTCCTCCGTCTCCGTCCTCCTCCGCCCTCCTCCGTCCTCCTCCTCCGCCCTCCTCCGTTCTCCTTGCCCGCCCTCCTCCGTCCTCCATTCATTATCCCATTTAAAGTGCTCCTCCTTGTCGCACCCCGAGGCTGGTTCGCCTGAGACTTCATCACCACTGATGACCCTGATGCTTGAAAAACTGACAACGGTTTCACGGATGAAGGGCGGGTGGTTTGCAAACTGTGGTTCTCGCCTGAGCGCTGCGCACATTCGTTCTACAAATTTGCAACAGCTTCACGGATTGAGGGCGGGTGGATTTCAAAATGTGGCCTTCGCCTTAGCGCCGCGCACATTCGCCCAAAAACTTTGAAACCGTTTCACGGATTGAGGGCGGGTGGTTTTCAACATGAAACTCTCGCCCAGACGCCGCACAATTCGCTTCAAACATGTGCAAGAGGTTCGCGGATTGAGGGCGGTTCGGATTCAAAATGTGAATCTCTCCTGGGCGCCACGCACATTCGTTCAACAACTTTGTAACAGTTTCACGGATTGACCGCGGGTGGTCTTCAAAATGTGGTTCTCGCCTTTGCGCCGCGCACAGTCCTGTTTAAAGCTGTAGGAAGTTACCCGATTGAGATCAGGTGGTTTTCAAACTATGGATCTCTCCTGTTTTGCAAAAATGCGAGCATTTCACGGATTGAGGGCAAGCCGTTTTCAAAATGTGGCTCTCACCTGGCAAGCCGTTTTGAAAATGTGGCTCTCGCCTGAACGCTGCGCACATTCGTTCAAAAACCTTGCAAGAGGTTCACGGACTGAGGGCGATGTGCTTCCAAAATGTGGTTCTCGCCTAAGCGCCGCGCACATTCGTTCAAACACGTTCCAACATTCACGGATTGAGGGCGGCTCGTTTTCAAAATGTGGCTCTCGCCTAAGCGCCGCGCACATTCGCTTTCGACATGTGCAACAACGTCACGGATTTAGTGCGGATCGTTTTCAAATTGTGGCTCCCGCCTGAGCGCCGCGCATATGCGTTTTGGAAAATCAAGATGTTCACGGACTGAAGGCGGCTTCTTTTCAACATGTGGCTCTCGCCTTAGCGCCGCGCAACTCGTGTGCGTCTCCGGATTGCCAGGGCGCGACAGTTACGTTGGTTCGTGGTGTTGAAGTCCCAAGAATTGTGTTCTGGCAGGGCTCAGGATCGCCAAGACGTAACCGTCAAACTCGTGGCGGTGACGTCCTGAGAGTGGTGTTTGACACGCCTCAATATGTTCACACGTTTGTCCCCACCGGGGCAATTCCCTCAGTGGAAATGATTTCTTATAGGGGCCTGTGAAGAGGGAGCTTGGAAGGAGGGTGCATTTTAACATCGATGATGAGTCTTGGGTTCACACTGGTCCTTTGTCCTCCTTCTACTGTTCCTCCTCCTCCTCCGTGCTCCTACACCTCCTCACCCTCCTCCGTCGCGCACCAGGAGAGACGAGGCCCACGTAGGGCCGCGACTAGATGACTGCGGCAGGGAAAGACACAGAACCTTCCCCATCCAATGCTTCCTCCCCCCCATGGGTTCCAGATTTTAGACAGACAGATTTTTGTTGCGACGTCGCAGGATTGGCTCGAACCCTTCCCTGGAAGATGGTCCCGGGGCCCGAAGAATGCCCCTGGGGCCCTGGGGGCCGAAGCAAAAGATAACGCCTGGATCTGAAACAAACGCAATCCGCCAGCGTGGGCCCCAGAATGTCCGGACCACTTCCCACGGGGCCCGCTTTCCATCCCGAGCAGTTCGTTGACAGTTCCCGGGGCCCGGCTGAAGACCCCAGAAACAACAACAGTGCCTCAAACCTTCCGTCGTTGACACTTCACGACGCCATGGGGTCTGCCCCCACCACCTCCCTCCAAATCCCTTCTTTCTCATCACCATCATCACCATCATCATCGCTATTCTCTTCTCTTCTCTTCTCCTCCTCCTCCTCCTCCTCCTCCTCCTTCTCCTCCCCCTCCTGCTTCCCCCTCCCTCCGTCCTCGTCCACCTGGGGGAATAGATAGGTTGCAATACCGCTACTCCCAGGGCCTCTCGCAGGGTGCGTTCCAACCAAGGATTCTAAGATCATCCAGCTGGTGCGACGAGGGCCTCCCAGGAGGCCCAACTGGCCAAAACGAGAAAAGGGTAGCGGTATGGGTGCCTCTTCCTGATCTCTTCATCCCCCCCCCGCCCTGAGATTCGACGTCGCGAAAAAACGTTGGAATGCCGCGAAACATTACGCACGACGAGATGTCCAGACCCAAATTTTCTGCGGCACTGTTCGCTCCAAGTCCATCCGTGATGGCCCGGGGGCCGAACGCAAATCGCCGGTTGCGAGACAATTGCGACGCCAGGATCGCCTCCACGTCAGAGGGACCCCTAAGGCAGGGATGACCAGTACTGCGCGGCTTTCGGAGGCCGCGGGGGGGGGGGGGGGGCAGATGCACGCACGCAAACCACTGCCGGGGGGACCCCTGTGGGCCCGCACCAAGTCACTCCGGCGAAGGGTCACTCTTACATGCAGTCGATGCGAATCGACGCTAACCGACGCTAGTCGACGTCAAATCGACGCTAATCGACGCTCAATCGGCGCTTTCCCATCGACTACATGACTTACAAGACGCCAGCGCACGCTAATGCACTCGAGTGACGGTTACAGGACACATAAGGCTTCCATGATTTGCCACCGAGCGAAAGAAATCACGTGAATTTGCAGAACTCACCCAACATGCAAAACTCTGATAGTGTTTGGGGCGTGGCCGGCAAGAATGCCTGCGTTGGCCTTCAAGGGCACCCCAAAAACCAACCCAAAACACGTCCCGAAGAGGGGGCAGAATTGACCGGATACTGGGGCAACTACCTTCGCGCGCTCGCGCAGCCCCCCCCCCCCCGAAACAGGACGAGGGACTTGCGCCTCGCTCTTCGATCGCCCAGACCGCGAAGCGCAACTAACTTCGCACCCTCCTCCTCCTCCTCCTCCTCCTCCTCCTCCTCCTCCTCCTCCCTCCTCCCTCCTCCCTCCTCCCTCCTCCCTCCTCCCTCCTCCCTCCTCCCTCCTCCCTCCTCCCTCCTGCCTCCTGCCTCCTGCCTCCTGCCTCCTGCCTCCTGCCTCCTGCCTCCTGCCTCCTGCCTCCTGCCTCCTGCCTCCTGCCTCCTGCCTCCT